TTTTCAACGTTTATTTATTTTTGGGACAGAGAGAGACAAAGCATGAACGGGGGAGGGGCAGAGAGAGAGGGAGACACAGAATCGGAAACAGGCTCCAGGCTCCGAGCCATCAGCCCAGAGCCTGACGCGGGGCTCGAACTCACGGACCGCGAGATCGTGACCTGGCTGAAGTCGGACGCTTAACCGACTGCGCCACCCAGGCGCCCCAAAATACATTTTAATCTTTTAAAAAAGTCTATGTCCTCTGATGCCACAATTGCACTTTAAGGAACATATCCCCAAGAAACATTTTGACAGGTAGGCAGAGATTAGTTTTCAAAAATGTTCATGAAGCAATGTTTATGGCAATGACAAATTACTACACCCTGAACATCCCGAATAGAGGCTTGAGCAAAGATTCATGCATATTGGAATACCAGTCATTGAAAATAATGATGTAGATATTGATACTGGAGAGTATTCCCAATATATTGGTAAATGAGGAAAACAAATTACAAAGCAGTCTTGAGTGTGGGAGAGTTGCATATATTTCCATGGAGGAAAGTGCAGAAAGACACATACCAAAATGTAAAAAGCACTAGATGTTGGAGTCTGGGGCGATTTAAATTTTTTTCCAATTTTTCTACAATAAACACATATGGTACTATCTGTACAAGTTTTAGAATATTGGTTAAAAAAAGAAAACTCAACGTCTTCCCTATTTACCAGTAGAGTCTTATCTGTACAATTATGAATTCTCAGCTGGGATTTAAAAATCTTCACAGAACACAGCCAGTGTGATGAGTTTCTCAAATGTGTATTATGAATAGGCAAGAGAAGTCAAAAAACAACCAATCTTCTCCTTCTCAACCTATTTCTTTAAAGTAGTTTCTATCAACACCAAAAGAACCCCAAATAATCCACTTAAAAATGGGCAGGGGAACTGAGTAGACATTTCAACAAAGAAGACCTACAGATGGCCAACAGACCATGAAAAGATGCTCAACATCACTCATCATCAGGGAAATGCAAATCAAAACCGCAACAAGATATCACCTTACACCTGTCAGAATGGCTAAAATCAAAAAGACGAGAAATATTGGAGAGGATGTGGAGAAAAAAGAACCCCTGTGCACTGTCGGTGGGAATGTAAATTGGTACAGCTACTATGGAAAACAGTATGGAAACTCCTCAAAAAATTAAAACGAGAAAAAAATTAAAAAGAGAAATACCATGTGATCCAATGACTCCTCTACTGGGCATTTACTTAAAGAAAATGAAAACGCTGATTTGAAAAGATACATGCACCCCTATGTTTATTGCAGCATTATGTACAATAGTCAAGATATGGAAGCAACCTAAGTGTTCACTCACACTTAGATAAGGCAGATGTGGTATGTACACACACACACACACACACACACACACACACACACACACACACCAGAATATTATGCAGCCGTAAAAAAGGATGGGATCTTGCCATTTGCAACAACATGGATGGACCTCGATATTACACTAAGTGGAATAAATCAAACTGAGAAAGACAGATACCATATCATTTCACTCACACGTGGAATCTAAAAAAAAGAAAAACAAATGAATAAACCAACAAAAAGCAGATTCAGACCTATAAATACGGAGAACAAATGATGGTTGTCAGTGGGAAGGGGTTGGGTAAAATCGGGGAAGGGGAGTGGCAGATACAGCCTTCCAGTTATGGAATGAATAAGTCACAGGAATATAAAGGCACAGCATAGGGAACAGTCAGTGACGTCATAATAGCACTGTGTGGTGACACTTCTGGTGAGCATAGCATAACTTACAGAGAGATCTATTCACTATGTTGTACACCTGAAACTAACGTGAATTGTGTGTCAACTACACTCAAATTTTAAAAGTAATAATAAAATAAAAATAGAGGAATACAGCATTTCTACACAGGAAGCGGGCGCCCCCACAGGGTGGGGCATCTCTGATGAAGAGAAAGCCCAGAAGCGGTCCTTTTCCTTTCTGCGGGACAGCTGGAGTTGAGCAGTTCAAACCCCAATCAAAGGTCTTC